CATAGTTCACCTTATTTCTATTGGTCTTTTACTGGTAGCAGAACGTTTCCAAAAATCAGGTCTGTTCTTTGTCTTTAAACACTGGCTCAGATAAGGGGAGCAGAAGCAGCAGGTGACCTGAGAGTTATGGCGAACACGGGACAAAGGAACTGGGTGCACACCGTGGTAACCAGTCCTGGTGGTACCACCATCTGTTTCACACCTGGCCATTTTCTTCTGTTTTCCCAAAAGAATGATGACTTGGGAAGCACCCAGGCAGGCACACCCTCCTTAAGCGCATGCAGTACAATGAGAGCTGTGCTGATGCTCACCTGTTTTTCGGTTTGATCAGAAATTGAAGATTCGCACCAAGTCCACTGGAAGGTTTGCTAGGGTTTTGTGAGCATTTCAAGTGAACCTAAGCCAGCTCAGGGGGTTCCTTTCAATGTGATCCCACCATGGTGAATGGAGTTTTGACTTGGGTTTCGTTTTGATCGCCATTGTGGACTGAAAACAAAAATGCTCCCCTGAGCCTCTGTGAAGTGTAACTGCGAGTTTCACAAGGCTATAAGACTCTCCAATCCAAAGTCAATGGGAATCTTTCCATTGACTACAACAGGCCTTGGATCAGTCTCTCATTGGTTTTGCATCAGATAAGGAGATCTAGATCCCTCACACCTCTTTGATGCTGGTGTAACACTCCTGGCTCTGGTGGAGATACTCCTAAATGTTATATGTAATTGTGAGCTTGTTAGAGACTGTATTCCTGGCGATTTGGGTAAGTCAAAGGACGCTTCCTGATGGAAGTAAAGACAATGGGTGGGGGGGTCACTAATGCTGAAACAATGCCAGTAACAAGTCTTTTGATGTATCTTGCTTTCTCTGTGGCTTTTGTGCAGTACTATAACTCAGCTCAATACTTCCCCAGCCCCTGTAATGAAATATTACAGACAACACCACCAAAAGGGATGTCACAAGAACGTGACAGTCGCAAAGCCAAGCCCTCCAAAGTTAGGCAATGCCAGTGTTCCGTGTGCGACCCTGGACAGCAAGAGAACAATGAGCTTGAGGAATAATGGAGGGGGGGCGTGCTTCGCTACAGAGGCTCTGAACTCCCGGGAAGAGGTCCACAGATTGACGTGACCTGGTTCAAAGGCCTTAGCAAACACAGGGCTTGAAAGAAAATTAATAGTTCTTGGATGGACTCTCTCCACCTAGATCAGGGCTGACAGGCATGAGCCTGTGACCAGAAGAAACAGCCAGTGCAGGAGGATTTGGAGTATATTAGACCTACGAGGGTCTCCATGTGGACGGTGGGTGACACCTGGTGAGCTTGGGTCGATGGCAGATTATTATTTCTTTTCTTACATTTAATTCTATCCTTCACATAACAGAATGTCCATTCTGCAGCCTGTACAAGGGAAGGCCAACACATATGCATGGTAACCACCTCCCACTTTGATGCTGTTCTTGAGCCTTTATCCCAGACCTTTACCTTTACTAAAGAACCCAGTGTGCTTAGATTCAGTCCTTTTCCCTCCTTTTCCATCTGAAAGTTCCAGACTAATTAAGGTCTAGGATCTCTTGGCATCCAGAATTCATAAATCAACCCGTAGACTCATTAATATACTCATCAGAGGTCTATAGAGCAAGTCTTACTCCATTCAGTTGGGCATTCCTGAAAGTTGAATGCAAATAAACAAACTGTGAAGTGACTGATTTGCTCTCCGCTGAAAAATGGAACTTGAGTCTGTTGAGCTGGGTGCGGCAGTGGGTGAGGTGGGGTGGAGATCCGAGTGGGAGGGCACAGGAGAAGTGGGTGTGGAAGAAAGAGTGGACAGGAGGGAGAGTGTGTTAGGGAAGCAATAAGATATGATGGGCGCAGCATTTCTGAGCAGTTAGTCAGTGCCTCGGGGTGGACTTTGCAGCACAAAGATGAAGGTCAAGTGGTTTCAACTGCTTGAAAAGTGCAATTATCCTCTCTAAATTGCCTGTCACGGCTAATAAATAAATAAATGGTCCCACCTCTGCTGCCTTTGCATAGCAGAGTGTGACGCCCTCGCGGGCCAGGATTAGAACAATGTTAGAGCTATTTCACAACAGCAGCATTCTTCTCCTCCCCAGAGGGAATGCTGGAAGGCCATTCTCTCTCCACGATGGGTGCCGACTACAGGAATAAAAGACCACATCCTGGGAGAGGCACTCATGAGCACTGCACCCTCCTCGCATCCAGCGTGAGCCCCGTCTGGCTTTCAGTGGGAGCCTTTCCATTAACTTCCACGGGTGCTGGATGGGCCCCTGACATTTGTGACTTTCGATTGTAGTGACAGGGATGGAAGTCAGGAGCACAGCTGGCTTTGAAAGGGAGGTTGAATACCCTGCAGCATGGGCGGCACGTGACTCGTCCATTTGGGGAGGTTGCACATGCCCAGACCATGGCCCCGCCGCTAGGTCTGCCCCTGCTCCAGCCCCACTTGTCTCCCACTGCTCATGCCTCTTCGCCCCCTCCCACAGAACCCCCCACCCACCGGCTGGGCAGCTGAGCCTGCCGGCTGCTCACCCCTCGCTCGGTGCCTCTTCACGCCCTCCCGCGAGGCTCCCATGCAGGCAGAGCAGGGACGGGAAGGGGAAGAGCAGCGCAGACGGGGCCACAGCTGGGGTACCCACCCTTTTGGCGGCAGTGCACTCCAAAGGCAGCGAGCCAGGTGTCTGGGGAGGCTTAGCCGCCCCGGCCTTATTCCCACCACCTGCACTCTGCGGGTAGAAGAAATGACAGCTGAGGGAGTGAACTGGAGCCCTGTGGGTGTGAATAATGTTTCCTACACAACGTTGTCTGTTCTTGACTATTCCTGTGGCTCAGTTTGGCAGAAGAGTGACGTGATCTCAGCAGCGCTGGCCCTCAAGGCCACATAGCCAGAGCTGTCGGTAGGATAGTGATGTTAGGGGGGATAGCATTGCCCAGCATGCTACAGAGTCCCATTGCACCGTCAGGTGAGGATAAGGACTAAGAAGGGACAAGCTCATGACCCTATGGAACAGACCTGTGTGAAAATGCAGAAAGTTTTTGCCCATTTTCATAGCCCTCCCCCTTTCCTCCCATCTCCAAATTGGCATTTGCAAGAAATTTCACAAGACTCCAGTTTGTAGAGCCTTCTTTTGCAGCAAAAATGATTCCTCTTGAAAATGGCCTGGTTTAGCAGAATATGTCACATAACTGGGAACACTGAATTCCCCTCATGTTCAAATGTCATTGCCATGTCTCTAAACCATATTCTAGCCTTTGCTATGCTGTACAGCTTCTTGGATCCCCGTCCTCATTACTGTGAGCTCCATGGAGCCCAGACTATCTCCTTGTTCTGTCTTTGTCCAGTGCCTAGCACAACGGGGGTGTCACAGAGTCCCCAGACGATGCTCTGAAACTGCTCCCTACGAAGCCAGGCAGGACTCTGGGGAAGTCTCCTTTCTGGGAGCAGACTGCCTGCAGGACACACAGCTCACCCGGCTTCCACCTTCCTGGGTCTGACCTCGGAGCATTCAGCCTCCTCTGCCTCTCCGTGCGCTTCCCACAGCGAGTCCGCTCAGGCGGGGTCCTGGGGAAGCCAGCAGGTCCTGCACCCCAACTCCGCAGTCAGACGGGACTCTCAGCCAGCCAGTAAAACAGAAGGTTTATTAGACGACAGGAACATGGTCTAAAACAGAGCTTGTAGGTGCAGAGAACAGGACCCCTCAGCTGGGGCCATTTTGGGGGGCAGTGAGCCAGACAACCACGTCTGCACTTCACTCCATGTCCCCAGCCAGCCCCCAACTGAAACTCTCTCCAGCCCCTCCTCCTCTGGGCTTTGTCCCTTTCCCGGGCCAGGAGGTCACCTGATTCCTTTGTTCTCCAACCCTTTAGCTCTCGTCTTGCAGGGGGGAAGGGCCAGGCCATCAGTTGCCAGGAAACAGGGTGTCGGGCATTCTCTGTGTCCAGACCCCTGCACACACCTGCCCTCTAGGGCTCTGCAGTGATCATACATCCTTATCCCACCACCAAGATACTTAAGAACTGCCTAGGGGAAACTGAGGCACCCCCACAATATTCAGAGGAAACATTAAGAACTGTCCCGCTTTGTCACAGGGGGTCTGGGCTGTGACTAGGGCTTTTAACCGCTACCGTAATACAAATAATAAATTGCAATAATGGAGTAGATAAGCACTTTCCAGTCCGGCATTAAGTATTGTGACTAATGTACTCTGAACTTTAGAGGTAGAGGCCAACCAGATCTAGCTTTCAAGAAACGAGGCATGCTGGTCAAGTTTTTAAAATATGAATATCTAACAACAGGCTTCTACGTCCATATTGAGCCACCTAAAAAAAAGTGATCTGCTCTTCCAACGTACATAGCTCCCAGCAGCAACCTTCAAAATCCCTGACAAAACTGCTACTGACTTCCACGGGAGCAAGATCCAGCCTTGGATGTGATTGAAGGCCTGCAGTACATTGCGTTTATCTCCCTTCATCTATTGTCCCTTCACTGAATCAGAGAGAGGTCTGCAAATCTCAGGATCTAACTTTGCATAGCGGGAGAGTGGAATTACCATTTGTACTTTGGTATGAATTTCATCCACGTTTCTACATGGCATTTGCTTCCTTCCCCCTTAATAAAATTCCTCTCCACAGCCTCTTAACGGGATATACTGGCTGCATGATATCAGCCAGGAAAAGTAGCATAGGAAGGAACCTTTGCAAGTTTTTGCTCTGTATTATATGCCAGTGCCCGGTATTTTGTGACTCTCTCTTCCAATTCCTCCTTTTGCTCAGCAGGCATTCTAGAACTTCTACTGTTTTTCACTTGATAAATTCCTTGCATTCATATTGTGAGTTTGGCAAACGATAATGAGTGCAGAGCTGGTGGGCCTGGTGTATTGTCTCTTAATATTGAGACAACCAAGCTAGGGATGATGAGAAATGCAATGTATGAACAAGAGCAAAACTGACTCTCTCAATTGGGTTCATTGGGTTTCTTGTTTGTTTTTGGCAGATATTTGGATGCTGGGTCTGGATCCTCGTAGCTGCCACCACAGTGTATTTCCCTATGCTGCAGGGATGGGTTATGTACGTCTCACTGAGTTCATTTTTCTTCTCCCTGATGTTCCTGTTGTGTTACCTGTTTGGATTTCACAGAAACAGTAACTCATGGAAAGTAGTGGTAAGAACACACTCCCTTATTCTGGGTGTTGCTGCCGGTGGTGGCTCTTCTCATTCCTGTGACTGCCTTTCAGCTTCAGGTCTCCCCTCTCAAGCAGAAAGTTGACTTCAGAATGGACTTTCCATGTATTCTGCACTTTCTAATCTTTTCACACAAAAGGGCCGGCAGATGGAATCGTCCCAGGTCATTCTGCAATGTTCTTCTGACATTTCTTCTAACATTGCATGTGAAACTGATGCAATTCAACTAGAATACAGAAAATAAGGTAGATCCAGGGCCACCTGAATCCTCTGTTTGATTCAAACCTCTTGGTACTTCCTTCGTAGCTAAAAAAACAGTTGGTTAATAACAGGGTGCGAGGCGCCCTGGTGTACTTAAGGCTACAAAAGAGTTTTCATTATAATCTACTTTCGTATGTTCATAGCTTATCATTTGGGCTGAAATGGGGTGATTTTTTTTTTTGAGTTTGAAGAAAATCTCTTTAGTCATTTTTAAGTTTTGGGAGAGGGAAAGGAGAAAAGAAAATAACACAAAAGCTCTAGCCGGGCCCTTTTGAGCAGGGCTAGAGCAAAAGCAGCTGAAGACAGCGGTGTGACAAGACTGGGGGTCTGAAATGCTACCGTGGTGATAACAGAGCAATAGCCTGGACCCTGTGATTTCAGAGCCTTTGCAAATTCTAAGCTGCTGCTTAAAAGGAAAATTTCAGTTTCCCACTGTTGCCCGTCATGTTACATTGGGATGACTCATTTTTGCAAGTGCTCTGTTAAGCCAGTCTCGCAAAAAAACTCCCTCTGTGCCCAAACAAGAGCAGCAGAAACGGTAGGAACTTGCAATGCTCCATCTATTCTGCTTACCTCAAGTTGGACATGCAGAATCTACACTTACAGCAGCAAGCCCTCAACTACATTGAACATACGCAGCATTTTCCATTCTTGTTTCCTGCTAGATAATGTATTGCCTTTAAAACACTGAACTCAAGGGGAAAGTTGGTGTTGGGATTAAGGCACGAGATCAGGAGATCTGGGTTCAATTCTTCTCTCTGCTGTAGAGTTCCTTGGTGACTTGGTGTATGTCTCTCTGCTCCACATCTGTCAATTGGTTTAATATTTCCCTGCCATACAGGGATGTTATGAGGGTAATTTCATTGTCTGAGAGTGTGTAGAGCTGGTGTAGGGCTTATAAGCAGATGTATAGTAAATATATACAATAAAATATACAAGTGAGTTAATGATGCTGTTGAACCTTAACTTGGGCCTGTCTTCTCTTTTTGTGATTATTAACTGTGCAAACTTAATGTGCCATTAATATACTGTTTTGCTTCAATTAATAGTGTAGCATCACGGACTGCAAGCCTGGGGAGACACTTTCATTCTAAACCAACTCTTAAGTTGCTTGTGACTTGCAAAATCTTTCCTCTTGAGCATGACTGTCACATGCCTGGTCCCAACCCAAAGAAGATTTAGTTGTTGTGGAACATTTTGAGAAAAATTGTTCCAGATGTTTTTGAGTCATGCAGGCATCATCCTTTCCCACTTTTGTAGAACTGAAAAACAGACATTGGACAGCTGAAGGGCCATAGCTATGCTGTTGTGCTTATATAAAGTACAGCTGTTATATAAGTGATGAGGAGGTACCTGCACTGTGAATATGTATTTCAACATCACAAACCTTCCTCTTCTGTCTCTTGTTTTGCAGGATAGTCTGTATCATGGGGCCACTGCAATTTTCTATATGAGCGCTGCAGTCTTACAAGCTAATGCAACAATCCGCTCTGAGACTGAAGTGCTTGCACAATATATTCCTCGTTACTATCAAATCAATGTTGCTGCCTCAGTAAGTTGAATGCTTAGAGTATTGATTAGCCACCATTTCTTGTAGGCACCTCTCTTTCCTGTATAATTTCCATGGGAAAGTTTCAATGTTGCTGAAACTTTTTCAGTTTTTTTTTTTTTTTTTTGTTGGAAAAAATCAAAGCAAAATATTTCAGGTCAGGTAGGTCATCCCAAATTGAAACAGTTTGGCTTGTCAAACTGAATTGAACCACTTAGTGTCATGTCAGAGTGACATTTAATCTGAGTCTGTCTGAGCTGTCATGGTGCTTGATGGGAGTTGTAGTTGGGAGCCTCATGCCCTTATTCGCCCCGCTGGGCTCCCTGGCCAGACTATATCTCCCATGATGCACCGCGGTCTCCTCTTTGGCCGAACAACAGTGGTGTATCATAGGATCCTAGGGCCACAGTTTACCATGGAAAATGTCATCTAGCCATTGGAAAGTGTGGGCACAAAGCATCTGAACTACAACTCCCATGAGGCACTGTGGCTGTTCAGGAGGATACAAAACAAAAATGTTTCAACATTTCTGAATTGAAATTTTTTGTAACTTGTAGGTCCATGGAAAATTTTGATATTTTGCCTTTTCCTCACAATTGGGGACGGGAAAGACAGAAAATTCTGATTTTCACTCAACTCTGCTCTGGAGCTGTCCCACGGTTTGGGTTTGAGATTTTATTCATTAATAGATTGGCACGATCATTTTAAGGACATAAATCCATTGAAAAAAGAACATTGGAGGGATCACTAAGGACATAGATTAAAATAAGGCTGAAATCGGTAGAGTAATTTCATTGCCTAGTAATGTTGTTTCTATTTTTCCTTTCAGTTCTTTACTTTTATCACTGCTCTGCTGTATATTTTACATGCCTTCAGCATCTACTACCACTGAAGACTGCTGTCAAGGAGAGAAACAGGGTGACAGAGACACACAGCAGTGACACCTGGACTTTGTGTACCTAAAACAATGGTTTAATTGGATTAAGAACATAATTCAGTATAAATATAGGTCATTTGGAGCCTGGCTCTGCCCCATTTTAATTTTAAAAGATACTTCTATAAATCTATATTGAAATCTTAAGTTTTATACCATATTGTGTATTTTCTGTCTGAAAACAGTATAGTTTGGGGAAAAGCTTGTCAATCTTCTGTGTAGGGCTACTTGCACATCTTCTCTTTCCCACGTATCACATCTCCGCTTTTGGTCGTGTCCAAAGGCTCTCTGGCTGGATGGTCACATATGCCTGTGGTAGGGGTTACATGAACTAACTTATTGGAAAATATAAAGGTCTCTTTGTTTTCTTATGACAGCTGCTTTGTTGTGTATTGTTTTTAGTTAAGTTTCTCTGTCATTCCGGTCTGATTAGAACTACAGTTCCTCTGAGCAAGTTCACACCTCTCCTGCCGCTTGTGTAGTGAAACACCCCTCACCTCCGTGACTAGCTGGCCCTGTGTCCAGCACCTGCTCCATGTTCTGAAATCCATCCTTGGGCAGAGGGCCAGCACCAGGGCTATACAGCACTTCAGTCCCATTTACACCTATGCAGTGAAGTCCTGGCCCCACCGACATCAGTGGCCCCACTGACATCACTGGGAGCTCGGCCAAGACTTCACCGCATGGTCAGAGAGCAACGTGAGAGTCTTGTTTTATGAAGCTGTAATTTTCCATCCAGAGGTGTCAGCAAGTGTTCCCTTCTCAGCAATTTGCCCTAACAGGAAACCACAGTACCCAAAGGAAATAACTGTCAGGGGAAGGAAATAAGTCAGGTGGCAATTCCCTACCTTTCAGGGGGTCGTGAGACTACATTAATTATTGTTCCTAGGTGCTTTGAGATCCTCAGAGGAAAGGCACTGGAATGGCGTGCGCGTATTAATGACTGGGATTATTAATAAGCAATCGCACAAGCAGACACTTGTGCTACCTGTAGGCGTGTGCGTGTCACTATTGTGGGATGAAATCTACATGCATGGCTAAGCACTTTACTTGCTGGTGGGAGATTCTGTTCTGCAAGTTGCATGGGAACAGCAGCAAATCCCATAATGCAGTTACCCTAGGAGTTAGAGCTATGTCAACACTGCAATTAGACCACCTGCAGCTCGTCCGTGACTTGAGCTTGCATAGGTTTGGCTAAGGGGTTGTGTAGACGAAAGGGCTTGGGCTCTAGGACCCTGTGAGGTGGGAGGTAGCCAGAAGCTCAGGCTGCAGCCCAAGTCTGAAAGTCCGCATTGCAATGAAACAGCCCAGCAGCTGAGCCCTGTGAGCCGGAGTCAGTTGGCACAAGCCAGCTGCGGGTTTTTAATTGCAGTGTAGACAGACCATTAGTCATAGTGGGCCAGCTGCTCCATGGAGAAGACATGAACAGCGCCCTTGTCCCTCTACACAGCAGCCAGGCATAACTGCATTTCCTGGGATCCCTGGGGCTGTGCCTATGGAGCACAGCAGACCTCCACAAATGGTCCCTACTGAGGGAAGGATGGCAGGGAACGTGGGTTCCTCGATACATAGATTCCAAGGCCAGCAGTGACCTGTGTCATTATCTAGTCTGACCCCCCTGAATAACACAGGCATAGAACGTCCTCCAAATAACTCCCAGAGTCGATCTTTTAGAAAAACAGCCACTCTGAATTGAAAAACTGTCCGTGATGGAGAATCCACCATGAGCCTGGGCAAGTCGTTCCAATGGTTAATTACTCACTGTTGCAAATTTACACCTTTTTTTCCAGTCTCTGAATTTCTCTAGCTTCAGCTTCTGGCCACAGTATCTTGTTAGCCCTTTTATTTGCTAGTTTGAAGAGCCCATCATCAAATATTTGTTCCCCACATAGGTATGTATAGACTGTGACCAAGTCTCTCCTCACCTTTCTCTTTGTTCAGCTAAGTAGATGGAGCTCCTCACGTCTCTCACTATCAGGCAGGTTTTCCAATCCTTTATCATTCTTGTGGTTCTTCTCTGACCCCTCCCTCTCCAATTGACCAACAGCCTTCTTGACTCCCGGTTCTAGCTGCACCTTTCTCTGACATTGCTCAGGGAGGCCGGCTTTATACAAGGCTCTCTCCTTTTAGGAAATCTCCCCTGACACGGGTGGTATTCGGTCTGCCCCATAATAATATGAGCTGGTAAAGCTCCATGACTCACGCGAGAAGCTTCAGCTCACTCCAGGTGCTCCAATTTTGAGAGCTTCTATTTAAAGGACACAAGAAGCTGAAGCCAAATCCTGCATGTGTTATTCAGGCAAAATCACCACTGAAAGCAAGGAGGGGGCTTTGCCTGTGCTGTCACTAAGGCCTCAACACAGACTCCCATTGACATTACTGGGCCCTGGCTCAGGGCCGTAAATACAGAACTGTCGTACCCAAATGGACCTCGGTAACAGGAGGGCCTGTGGAGGTACAAAGGCACAGTACACATTCAAGGGGGTCCTGCCACATGCTCCCTGCTGATTCCCTTTGTTGTGTGGCAGCCAAGGGGTGAAGTGGAGCTGCCCTGTAATGCCCTGCTGTGCGGGTGTGGTGGATGGAGTCAGGGGCTGCCCGTGTGCTGGGGAGCAGAGAGATGGAATCAGCAACCGCACCCTAGCAAGGCCTGATGTCATCCCTTGCACGTGTTCTTAGCAGACAAAACAGGGGCAGTAATGGGAAGCGTGCACATCAGAGTGACCCCCAAGGCCCCTCAACAGCCACCTCAGCTGGGATCGGAGCCACAGCCTCAGTGAGTGTACCCGGAAGTCAATGGAACGAGCCTGGGTCATGCCAGCTGAGAAGCTGGCCCCAGGTCTTGAGAATGGAAAGACATTAAACCCACTGGCTGTTACTGCCCCTCTGCAAAGCTACCGTGGCAATCGTCACCTGTGCCCCAAGGCCTTGGGGGTAGCTCTGAACCCCATTCCTGACCCCAGGGCCTTGTGGGTAGCTATAATCCCTCTTCCATCCCAAGGCCTTATGGGTAGCTGTGATCCTCTAGCCCCAACTCATAGCCTTATAGGTAGCTGTGATCCTCCCAACCTGCCCTAAGGCCTTGTGGGTAACTGTGATTCCTGCATCCCCAACTTGCCCCAGAGCCTTGTGGGTAACTCTGCACACCCTTTGATGGTTCTCGAACTGAGAGTCACCTTCTTACCGCCTGCCTCTAGTGAGATGGAGCCTCACCTGTGGCAGCTGGGTGTCCAGTCCCTGGCACCACCAGCCTGTCAGCCACTGAAGCCTGCTCCTCTGGGCTATGCCAGCCCTGGCTTACCCTTGCAGGTCAACAAGAGGTGCACCTGAGTCCCCTTGGAGCATGCCCCTGTGATAGCCAGCTCCTGATACTGCCTACTCACAGGTAATCCCAGATCCTCTGCCCCCAAAGGCACTGTGTGCCCTCGTTTTATCTTAAACCACGGCTCCTGTAAAATCACACTGCCCTTGTAATAAAACAAGAGGTTTAGTTAAGAAAGACTAGAGAGTCAGCTAAACACAAGAGAGAGTGGTGGAAGTAAATGCTTACACCACAAAACAAAATAATAAAATGTGAATGATGGCCTAGGTTGATCACTAGTTCCCTTTCCTATCTAATAAAGTTGTTTCCCCCTCAAAGTTCAGTCTGTCGCAGAAGTGCCTGGTTTTAAAGGAACAGTGAACCCCCAAAAGGAAGATTGCTATTTAATAAAGGTTTTCTTCCCCCCTCTCACAGTTCAGTCTGTTGCAGAGCTGACTGGCTTTAAAGGCACCAAGGTGAAAACACAAGATGTCTCCTCAATGAATGGCTACAGACGGCCACACCCACTCTGTGGCACATGGAACAGGCTATTTTCTCTAGTCAGAGACAGGGCGATCCCATCTGCTGTAACAGTCCGCATGCCTTTTTTACCCACAAATGGTTTCACTTGTTTTGAATTGTAGGGGGACCTGCCATGTTGTAATCCTGTTCCCACACTGCCCCACGGCAAGCCAATTGTGCAGCATGGTTAGAAACACTGTTCAGATCAGTTTAGGTGCAGAGCCAAACAGAGGGGTTTTGGGGGTGTGTGACTGCATTATTTAGTAGAATCAGAAGCTCAACACAGCTGTCACAGTCGTGTTGGGGCCTTTGTAATATTCTAGCCGGGTCTAGTTGACAAGAGTGAATAGAGGCCAAACCACCTCCAACGCGATCTAGCTACAGACTAGGCTGTACTTCTCGCTAGCTCTCCGTTGGTGTTTGAGCTGAAATTTCAGTTCATTGTGTGATTCAGTTGGTATCCTTCCCAGTATTGGCTGGGGATTAATTCAGGCAGCCCCTTTTCTGTAGTATACATTTAAAATAAATAATCACACACTTGCTGTGATCATTTTATAATCCATGAAAGCTTGCAACAGGCAAAAATTTTGTTGGTTACTAAGCTACCAAGAGTGATGGGTGAAGTCAGAATATCTGCACTACAGCGTGGGAAGCCAAGATCAACACTGCACTGGTCACTTACAGCAAGGTTTGGCCATCTCAACAGCTGAAGCTAAACTGAAACAAGCCCCTCTTAAACTGAAATCCCAGTGTTCACGGAGGGTTTGACGATCAATTTAAAAACTGATTTTTAAGTGAAACTGGGGCAGCTTTCCCATGCAGACAAAGCCTTAGGCCTGCTGGAGTGTATAGGCTAAGTCACAATCTAGTGCTAGAAGTTTAAAATGTGTACTAAGATAACATGTTGGATCAGTGTGGAAAGAATGGCTGCATGGAACTAAACTGATTCACCAGCTAGCAATTCATATTTGCTGTACCATAAAGTCTGATAAACTTCAGATTGGCAGCTCGCACTTCTCCAAGTCTCGTGATTCCTCTGAGAGATGATAGCTTGCTCAGCTAAAGCTCACTGCTTATCCTAAAGCTGCTCCAAAATGTCTCCCAGACGTTTGGAAGGGCTGAAGGATGTTTGAAAGAATTTGCAGGCCAAGAAGACTTAATTAATATTTAACTAGTGCTGTGGAATTTATATAAATCCTGCTAGATTATGTTTGTGTATTATAATAATCGAGCTGTGATTTTCTACAGAAATTCCAACCAGTCATCCTAAGCACATTATAAATCAATGCAGCTGCAGAATTAGCCTACATGAGCTACAAAGGTAATGTGTACACACTAAAGATCTGGCCCAAAGGCAGATATTGAGCAATGAATATCTTTCACTCTTGGTGAATACTGTGCTTACAGTACATCCATCTGGCCATGGACAAAACCAGTATTAAGATGAAGACACATAAAATGGGGATAAAACAGAAAAGTGTGGAATGCATGTCAAGGTTCCTTTCCCCACTCTGAACTCTAGGGTA